ACAATCAGAGGAGGGTGGTGCGGAACAAGCTTAACTAGTGGACAAGGTGCTGTGGAAATGAACGGAGCATTGTCCTGAGTGCTCACGAAGCAGAGGTCCAAACTACGGTTGTTCTCGTTGACTACGTAGTTAATTTGAGAAAGCGTTGCTACGCTATAGTTATCGAGAAGGCCGATAGCTCCTGCATGAAATACAGAACGTTCTGGATCTGGATAGAGGAAGCCGCTATGGGATGGTCTCCACGAAACGCCTGCTAGGTTAAAGTCCCCAAAAATGAATAGCTCATCAATTGGAGTCGCTCTTTCCATTACTGTAAAGACTGATTGACAGTGAGTCTCGATGAGTTCAAGATCACGAACTCGATCTGGTGGCATGTACAATGCGCACAAAAATAATGTGCGATCGCCCAGTTTAATGGCTGTCCAAACCTGTTCCACACTGTTCCACGATTCATTTTCGATTGCTCTCGCCTCCAATCCGGAACGGACAGCCACAAGAACGCCACCACCAGTAGATTTTCGGCTGTTGTTTGGATTCCGATCGCAACGAAAAACCTCATAATCAGATCCGAACACCTGGCTGGAAAGCGTTCGCGAATCGAGCCACGTCTCGCATAGGACAATCACATCATAGCAACGATCCGATACAGCAAGCCGGTAGTCGTCAACATCAGAATTCATTCCGCCGGCGTTTTGGAAGAAAATCACGATGTCCTGCTTGTGGCTTACAATCGAACGTCTGTTCTCCCTAGAAATCACGGAAGCATCAGGCAGCGAATGAACATTAACAATACCATGCGGATACTCGCCATAGTGACTGGGTTGGAAGACCCCCTCTCCACATCCGACTACAGGTCCGGAACGACTATGGTGAGCGGCGGCAGCAAATGGCTGGACTGAGACGGAGGGATCAGAGGCTTCCACGAGGCTTTCTACGGCGCGTTCCGGGCTCCGAGGTACGAGAGTTGATTCGGCGGCATTCAAGGTGCTGAAATTTGGATCGGCATCAGACATCGTATTTGCGCTATTAATTATGTACTCGCCTGTTCTAGCAAGTTGGAAGACCCCCAATCCACATCTAAAATCAGGGCCAGGACGACTATGATGAACGCTGACAGGAATTAGCACGACTGAGTTAGAGGAACCGGGGGCTTCCATAAAGCTTTCCACGATGCGTCCCGGTTGCAAAGCAGATTGGTTCATCCAGAGTTCAGAAGACATCGAGCTTACTACGTCGTTTTCAGAAGGCGAGGTTGGATCGGATGGTTGCGTTAAGTATTCGCTGCTGGAAGCGGAAGGTGGTTCAGAAAAAGAAGGTTTTGGAACGTATCGATACTTGCCTGTAAGTACAGGCTGGAAGACCTCGTCACCGATTCCAAAACCAGGGCCAGGACGACTTCTGATGATTAGATCTACAAACAGCTCGACTGGTTCGGAGGGATCAGAGGCTTCCGAAGCGCTGTGTTGTTGCGTCCCAGATCCGCCCAACAGCACGTTAGTAATTGAAAAGGAAGTATCCTGGAACTGGTGTCACTGTGCTGGACCAATACGGGTGATTTTGGTCACCTTCTTTGACCGGGAATCATCGAACTCACGGAACTGAATGCCCTCCGGCCACGAATCGCAGGAATCGCCACCTCTATGCACCGCTATGCTATGGATCGGAATCAGTAGCTCTTCGTGAGTCACTGCGCGTCGGTCATCTATGCCAAGTGTGTCACCCTCGCTCCAAACGACATACAGCTCGACAGCCTCATCCGTGTTGAACACCCAGCTTAGAATTACTCAACCATCACTACAAAATGGTCCTTTTCAGGGCCATCAAAAATTTGTTAAGAGTATTATTTGGACATTCGTCAAGGTGGCGAAATAACGTGCTCAACTTTTTGGCTCAGCTCTGGTACTCTCTTCGGTCCCAAGCTAATCGATTCACCCCTTGAAACATAGAAAAACCCACTAACCCCTCATTTTATCTGTCAAACTTCCATAGCGAATCAAAACCAACATTGTGTAGTAGTAGAATTTCGACTAGAATTGGGTACGTTAATCGTTTGCTTGGGACCAATAGGCTAGTCAAGTAGTGAGCCAATTTAAAATCGTGAAAACTAGATGTATGAGTGCTCATTGCAAGACAGCGTATATCACGTGATATACGCTATAATGTGAACGGGGTATTAGAGTTACCTCTATGGTACTATCCTTTGACTTCACCGAAAAATCCCATAAGAAACTGTCAATCATTTCTAGAAGAGACCATTTTTCGACGGTGCCGTCAACGCCAATAATGGAGCACGAACGAAGGCGATGAAGCACACAAAAATGACAGTATCAAAGGCAGCGCAGGTTGCTATGATTTTCATCCAAAAATAAGTCAAAATTTCCCAATGGTGAAAACATGACGGTTGAGTACTTTTAACTGAAAATCGAATTCATTTTTATATTTTTGTTTTTGAGTGTTTTTTTCTTACCGTGTTTGTTAATCTATTACCGAAAATTGGGTTAACGATTATTAGCGTGTTGAAAGTTTTCTTCCTGTGAGTTGTAAATGTGGTATGTAAAGAGGGATGGCAGATATAATCTGCATCTTCTTTTATTTGTTTGGATTACCTCTAAGCTTATTGTACATTCAAACTATAGCAGATATCACGTTATTTAGGCACTTTTTATATCATATTATATTACGTTATTACGTTATTAATATCAACTATAGTCTGAACGTAGTATAATTTCATGACGTCAGGGTAGGCGTGTAACATGCATGAGAAGCTAATACTGTTTGCCACACCTTTTATTTGACTAAACGTATGGATTGATTACACGCTTAAATAATAAGGCCACGAATGTTTTTAGTCACCTTTCTCACCGGGAGAGGGTATTACTTATGCGTCTTTTCGGAAATATATGGGAATTCTGGAAGTGAACCATATTGTTAATTTATAATATTTGATCTTAGATAGAGTCGTCCCCCTCGGAAAAACCTGAGGCAAATTTACTAATCGCTGAGTTCCTGCAATTTTGGCGATTATGAGTGATCTAAACTCAAATTTGGGTCGTTCTCATTCGCCGTGTAATGAATCACGCCAAGAGTGAAGCCAAATTTCCTATTGAACCGTCAAACCGGCTACATATCGGGCATAGTAAACAAACATTACGATGCTATGAAAGGTCCACGAAAGGTATTGCAATAAAATATATAATCGAATAAATGAGCATAAACACAGCCGCATTTTTTCTCTCGCTAGAAGTCATTGCAAGTTGTTGTAAAAGTCCTCTGTTGCCAAGTGAAAAGTATGGGAATCTTTCGAAAACCGTGATGCGAGTTCAACTGTTTTTCTCTTGGCGTGACTCATTATACACCGACTCTAGGTCTGACCACCCTGCTTGGAAGGTGCATCTATCTAAGGGGGGGGGGGGGGGGGGTTGGGGTGAGGTGACTGTCAAATACGAACGATCGCCGTCTACCTCGCATAACTGGTTCCAAACGACAACAAAGCCATAAGCAACGATGGTTTGTTGATATTTGGAACCAAATTCACATATGGAAAATCAATGAGAGCGTAAACAGGTGAGGCCCAGTAAATGTATCGTCTCTTTCGTTCTCCGGCTGATTAAATGGATGACGAAGTTTGACATCACACTCCTTCAACCGTAGCGGGAGAACAAAAGAGATAACAAACTCAATGAGCCTTACATATTTACATCTCATTGATGTCCTCCTGGTCGAAAACGAATACCTCATTACTTTTCCATAGTAATGAGCATGAGGTAATATGACATGCATTAAACAAAGGACACGGGCATAGGGGAAACATATCAGAAGGGTATAACTCGTAACGTAAACAATGACTTTGAACGTCGATTTCTCTTGAATGACCACACACGCACGGAATCTGACTACACCAGCTCATAGAACAAACATTTCTCTGTCAGATGATCAAGTTAGTTTGAGTTATAGTTGCTGCATTCATAGTCTGGCGAATAGAATTTCAATCTATCAAAAAGCGGAACCAATTCAATATATTTTAGACCAACAATTGAAAAGGTACTTCAGTTTTCAGCTTTTAAAAACAAAACGTTGATTATTCTTTCCTCGCCAATAGAAGATAAATTACCAGCAACATCGGATATGGGAAACTTGAAACAACCTAAAGATGGTGTTAATTTGTGTAGGCGAGCGGTTTCCGAAATTTTGTTCGCAACAGATGATGTGCTCTTTTCTGTTGTTGGTCGTGATTTGCTCGATTGGTTCCGCTATTTGACAGCTCAATTGGTTCCCGAAATTCTATCCGCCAGACTATGAATATAGCGACTATAGTTTGAGTGGGTATGTTGTCATTCGTAAGAAACCGACGATCCAAGTCATTGTTTACGTTTCAAGTTAGACCCTTAGCCGGCGCCGGTAGTGTAGTGGTAAGCGTGACTGCTTTCTCACCCAAATCGGTCTGAGTTCAATCCCAGCCGAGGTCGGTGGGATTTTTCTGAGGCATAAAAATCTCTGGTCACGTCTTCCTTCGGAAGGGAAGCCGTTGGTCCCGGCCCATGTGTGTTATCCTACGCAGGCCTACGAAGCTGCCTTCCTGCACATTCAATTGCCGTCAATGGATGGCAATCGATGTCCGTCGGTGATTGCGGAACAGAGACCGACGTTAAATAAAGGAAAGAAGAAGAAGACGTTATACCCTTCTGACATGTTTCCCCTGATATCACAAAAGATCAATGTATTGGTCGCATTGATTATCAACCGAATAAAAGGAGGTAAACAAAAACAAAGCTATTTTCAATTGAAAAGATCTGCCAGTTTTACTAGGAACTGTCAAACTCCTCGGCAAACAAAAAAAAATCAGCTGACCACAGCTGTATCACGGATCTTTATAGGCGATGTGAAATTTATAGGCAGTCGTCATAATTAATCTTACATGATAATTTTGGTGTGGCATGTATTTTTTTAATCAAAATATACGAGATTGTTCAATAACAAAAAAAAGGGTTTGCAATAAATTAACTCCTTTAGCATAAAAAAAGAACTCACATACTAAAGCTAGCCATCAGTGACTTCTATTTCTAGTGAAGTCTTTCGTTTTTGAGATAGTGTTCACGCTGCAAATTGCACATATCTTCGGCCCCGGCCTGTTTCAAACAGTCCACGATTGGTCGGCCACTGTCCACGGCCATCGTTAGTCCCTTCTTTACGGCTTCCGTCGTCATGGTTTGCAGTTTTGATGCCATTCCCATGGCAGCACAAACCCGTATGAAGGCAGTGGTACATCCCGATCCTGTAATTGATAATAATTCATGTTCATTTGGTGTTGTAGTATGAAAGCGGATTGAAACATACCATAATTTCCGAATTCTCCGCTCTGGTAGTCGAACGGCAACAGGTAGTGGTACTGTGGCCAGTAGCTCTTGGTCACAACGAATACCATGTTGGAGTCGCTCTGCTTGTGATTCTTGTCCAGTCCCCAGATCAAGTGAGCTGAATTAATCAACCAAGCAACGTTCAGCACCAACAGGTAGCGCAGCGAAAAGGCAACGAAGATTGCGGCTTGAACGGTATCACCCCAGTACTCGAGAGGAGCATTAATCGGCAGCAGGACAAACAGAATCGGGTACAGTAGCCAGTAGAAACGCTTCTGGAACATAACAATCTTATCAGACTCTAGATCGCGCATGTCGATCTGTTCGAGCAGTTTTTCCTGGCGGGGACTCAGTTTCTGGATGTTGGCAAAGACCTGCGCGTGCAAGAAGTCCTTGTCACTGTAGTACGGATCGTCTGGGGTGCGGAACTTTTCGTGGTGCAATCGGTGCATCTGGACCCAGTCGTAGATAGAACCCTGAAATGGATGTATTTAAATTAGGTTTTCATTGAAGCTCTCAGGGATGTGACGACTTACTTGTCCTGCTAGTGTTTGACACAACATCAGGGAGAATCGAAGGAAGGTAGATGCTTGGTAGGTTTTGTGCGCCCATAGTCTATGTGCCCCAGCAGTGGCGCCCAGTATTCCACATAAAGTTAAAAATGATGCTGAAATAAAACATTTTAACTACAAAACTAAATCACGATCAAAGCAACCTGTTACTTACTAAAAATAAAGGTGATTGCTGAGGTATGAGAAAAAAGTACAAAAATTCCATAGACTCCTAGGATGTTGAGATGAATGTAGAACAGTACCGAAGGCCAACTGGCTTCCCGTTTATTATCCCGAGGACTGCTCTCGGCACGGGAGCTTTCACTGGGGGTAGCTTCTTTAGACGCATCTGATGAGGAACTGGGATTAGAGTTGGCAAACTTTTCATTGTTCTCAGACGAACTCGTCGTCGTGGTTGTCGTTGTCGTCTCAGCCATTGACATTCTCACTCTAGGTCGCGATGATTACTACGAAGAGAAAATACAAAAGCATACGGATTTTTGAAATTTATGAAAACAGGTTTTTTGCGATAGCAACATCAATTTAGACCTTGAAAAGATACTGCTGGTATGGCTATTTCATCCAGACTATGCCAAGGTATTGAAACCGGCTTTATCGCCTTTGTTGGTTGTGATGAACCGGTTCGACGGAGCGTGGTGACACATACACAGTTCGTGTCAGATGATGTCGAGTTCTGAATCTACTTCCACCTACTACAAATCTATACGGCTTGCATGGCGGGAAACAACATTCAATTCTCAGCAAGATGGGAAGCACCGATTGGGGAGTAACTATTAGAAAGCGTGTCTCACTCTGTGAGAACATTCATGCCTTCGTAGAATTAAGTAGCAGACGAGCACGTTTATAAATGCAGTTGGGTACGTAGCAACTGGTAATGAATTACGGTTTTGGTTTTTCGACACACAACCATGAGCACAGCTCGGTAGAATAGGCTCAGTAGGCAGAATGCAATGAATTTGCAACTCTAGTTAAACATTGACAATTGAAATTCACGATCAAAGCTAATTAGTACTTTGACATCACCTTCCATTCTGAGCAGTTGCTTTGTATGGCCTGCTGTGGATTTTCCGCTACCTCGTTATGCAACAAAGTACCCCGGGCATGAGTGGACGGATTTCTTGATTCTTGACATTGGTGGTTCTAGAAGTTGAAATAGATTCGACTTGGGTTATTAGAAGCATATTAGAGCTTGCTGGTACTAAATCATAACGTTATTTCTTGAGTGTAGCTATTCGGTCTAACTTGTAAGTGTAGAGCAGTTGTTACACATATCATCACAGTAACCGGTAATTAAATTGAGCGTTCGATTGTGCGTGCTTTCTAAGTCTAAGGTAGCTAAAAGTAGTGATTTCTCAAACAAGATCACAATGTCAATTTGAATAAATGATTCGAACCTGGTAGAACTTCTCAGCACTGTTATTTTGGATTTAAAAGATTTATTCATGAGTGGAAACGGAACTCGTTAACCCGCTTAAATGTTCTCCATATAGATATGAATAGTTTATAGAATTAATTTTGATATTGAAAATTTAGGCTTTTTAATCATTTTTGATTTGTTATAATCTACACACTAATCCAGGCCTTCTATGTTCAGTAAATTTTGAACTACGGAACTGTTAGATAAATGTTTAAAAGCAGTGAAAAAATAAGTTTATCCGGATAAAACTTTGATCAAAATTAAAATATCTTGATTTTATTAATTTCATACATGTAACAGTCAATTAAAATGTAATGAAATTGGAATTAAATAGCAAAATTTGAATAAAATTCTGCTTGAAATTTCAAGTTACAGGTTGGTTGGCACAGTATTTTTTTTATGTTTTAAAATGTATGTGTAGAATTATACAAAAAGTTCAGCTTCAAACCGAATAAAAACTTGTATGGTAGGATGAAAGTGCTGTTTCATCGTGAGCTTCATCATTTCGCAGTGTTTGTTAATTTGAATTTTTCACCAACACATCTATACACGCAGATATATTCATGAACAATACACTAAAGACTGCTTCAGAAAGTATAGACGCAGCCATTCTTCAGTGAAAATAAAGGGTGATACGGTCAAAATTTGGTCAATATCAACTTGACGTATTTCTTTCAATTTTGCATTTAAAAAACCTGAACACCCCTCATTTTGAAGGTGTGTGTGTGTAGAATGTTGCTCCTATTTTGATTTTGGAATTCACTCTTCAGTTGTCAAAATGCCGTCCAAGCAAGAAGAGCAGCGTATCAAAATTTTGCTCGCGCATCGCGAAAATCCGAGCTACTCGCACGCAAAGTTGGCAAAATCGCTAAAAGTTGCCAAATCAACCGTTACAAATGTAATTAAAGTGTATGGGGAACGTTTGTCGACAGCCAGGAAGTCTGGATCGGGGGGAAAATCGAAAACCGGAAGCCGCTGAGACGACAAAGAGAGTTGCCGGTAGTTTCAAGCGAAACCCTAACCTCTCTCTCCGAGATGCCGCAAATAAGCTGGGTGTATCGTCTACAACCGTGCATCGAGCCAAAAAACGAGCCGGACTATCGACTTACAAGAAGGTAGTGACTCCAAATCGCGATGATAAACAAAATACGACGGCCAAAGCGCGATCCCGGAGGCTGTACACGACGATGCTGACGAAGTTTGACTGCGTGGTAATGGACGACGAAACCTACGTCAAAGCCGACTACAAGCAGCTTCCGGGACAGGAGTTTTATACGGCAAAAGGAAGGGGAAAGGTAGCAGATGTTTTCAAGCACATGAAACTGTCAAAGTTTGCAAAGAAATATCTGGTTTGGCAAGCCATCTGTACCTGTGGCTTGAAAAGCAGCATTTTCATAGCTTCCGGGACTGTCAACCAAGAAATTTACGTGAAAGAGTGTTTGAATAAACGTCTGCTGCCTTTCCTGAAGAAACACGGTTGTTCCGTACTGTTTTGGCCGGATTTGGCATCTTGCCATTACGGTAAAAAGGCCATGGAGTGGTACGCCGCCAACAACGTGCAGGTGGTTCCCAAGGACAAGAACCCTCCCAACACGCCAGAGCTCCGCCCAATTGAGAAATACTGGGCTATTGTCAAGCGGAACCTAAAGAAGACCAAAAAACTGCTAAGGGCGAGCAGCAGTTCAAGGCAAACTGGCTTTCTGCGGCGAAGAAGGTGGACAAGGTGGCTGTACAAAATCTGATGGCAGGGGTCAAGCGTAAGGCCCGGCAATTCGGATTTGGAAAAACGGAAGCCTAACTGAATATTTTTCCTGAATTTTATACTAATTGAACTTGAAAAAGAAATTTAATTTGATTTTTTAAATAAACGATTTCACCGATTTACACGCGTTTTCCCTTGACCAAATTTTGACCGTATCACCCTTTAATACACAAGTGTTGGAAATTTTATTAAGTATTAGATTAGCATAACAGATTAGGGCTCTCAATAGTTGCTATTTATCGGTTGTATGCTAGCTGGCTCACCTTCTTGCGAACGTTCTTCGTAAGATTCAGCACAGCCAATCCTTTTCAAACTGTTGAATGGTTTCTGCTGGGGAGACATGTTTCCTGAGATGTGCCTTGGTCAATGCCCAACATTTTTCAATTGGTCGAATTTGCTGGGCAATTAGGAGGATTCATGTCCTTTGGAACGAATGTTACACTATTGCAGGTATACAATTCTACCAACCGGTGGAAACTAACGATTTTAAATTGGCTCACTACTTGACTAGCCTATTGGTCCCAAGCAAATCGTTTAACATACCTAATTCTAGTTGAAATTCTAGTACTACACTATGCAGTGATGTGCTTGAACGCGTTTATACCATAGAGGTAACTCTAAGACAAGTAGGTCCCGAAGAAACGTGCTCAACTTTTTGGCTCACCTCTGGTACTATCTTCGGTCCCAAGCTTGTCGAATCACCCCTCGAAACATAGGTAAAACCAATAAACCCTCATTTTATCTGTCAAACTTTCATAGCGAATCAAAACAAACATTGCGTAGTACTTGAATTTCGACTAGAATGGGGTACGTTAATCGTTTGCTTGGTACCAATAGGCTACTAAAGTGGTGAGCCAATTTAAAATCGTTAGTTTCGTATTGATTGTTGTTTATACTTTGTTCAGCATCTATGAACCGAACCGAAAGATTACACTTGCACACCCTCCGTTCGGTTTTCGTTTTGCAAACATAACCGAACTATGCGTTGAACGAGTGTAAACGGACCGAGCGAATGGGCGAAACGAACGCTTCGTGTGTACGTAGAAAACGCTTCGTGTAGGTTTTTTCGTAGTCAAAACAAACGAACGGTGCGTGCAACTTTTCGAACGGCGTTGATGTACGGCACAGAAAAAAATAAACTTATAGAAAAATTAAAACCATATTAGATTGATGTGAATATAACATGTATAATGGGGTGTTTATATCTGTGCGGATTTGCTAGCGCTAGTGTACTAGCCAACTAGCACGAATTTCAGTTGCTCCTGATATATCATGCTGGTAGATTCTAATGCCCTGTCTACATTATGCTGGTGAGCTTTTTTGCTAGCAGCTGGCGTGATAAGCCATGGTTGAGTATAATCATATTTATCTACTTTTCGGTACAACTAACCTATTTTTGGATAGAAAGCGAGTGAATTTTCCATACGAATTGCACACAAGTAAATGAAAACTACTTTGACCACCTTTACCTACTTTCGTCTCCGTGCAGGAAGACGAAAGTAGGTAAAGGTGGTCAAAGTAGTGAAAAAGCACCCAAAATTAAGTACTTTTCCTTCAACTCCCGGGTTCAGCCCAAATTTGAGTAAATCGCATATAAAGTGATCCAAGTGACGTTTCTTAGTGGAACTGACAGCTAGAAATCTAGAGTGTGTGTGTGATCTGGTGTTTATGGTGCTGAATGTAAACATAAACAAAGCAGAAATTCATATGAGAATAAATTACCAGTTCTACTGTGATCTGTCAATAGTTCTTGGTAAACTTGGTAAACAGCTGTTCACAACTGTCTCGTGGACAGCCTTAAAGTAGTTTCCATTGAACACCAGCGAAAAAATTACTTACTAAGTTAAGTATATTCTACCCAAAATTAAGTAAAGTTAACGTAAATTTGTGATTATGCAATTTACTCAGAAGTAACTTACTGGTCTGAACTATATCATTGGATCGAATCTCTCGTTCCTTTTTTGACAACAATAACGGGTGCAAGTGAGAGACTCAACTCAAAATTAAGTAAAAAGAACACAAATTTTGGGTGATATTTTTTCTCCGTGTGCACTATGTGGCGAGATGGGTGAAAAGAACTTACTTTTGGGTACCTTTTTTTTTACCGTGTGGTCTAGAGAGTGCTTAAACGCGGATAATATAAAGTCACAAAAATACTGTCTAAATTGCCTAAGTTCCCGTGTAGGTAAGATGAGTTTGGTTTTATGCTATGAAATATGAATTATTACTTATTTTAAGAACAATTTTAGCCACAGCAACAGTCCAAC